AGAGAACGCTGCTTCTTGTCCTGCTGATTGCTTGCACTATACATTTAAATTTCAATTCCTTTTCTCCTGGAGTTTAAGCTCCAATCTATACAGCAACTAAATTGTTGGGCTGGTTTGTTTGGAAATGAAGCTTTTAAAATGGAACAGAATGTCATGTTAAAATGTATAGATTTCATTACAGTAATTCAATTTCAAAACATTGATTGTCTCTGAATTATTTGTGGCAATATAACAGCCTTTTAGCTTCCCCCCAAGCATCCTCCTTTTCTAAGAAATGAAGGAAATAGATGTAGATAGTATAAATGCATTAATTTGTTAAGATAGCTGCTGCTGCAGAAACAAGAGACTGTGCAAGGCCAAACAAGTATATTGTGTTTTTGTGACACTGAATAAGGTTAAGGATGTGTGGAATATTCTGCTAAGAGGAGTTATATGCCTGCCATTGCTATTGTACTCTGTCATGGAAAAACTTTCCAAATAGATACAGTATACCAGTCCCCACTATATCATATAGACTGATAAAGCATACCACACAAGGACCATCATGAATTATAAAAAAGCAATTGCAGAATGGTTTACACTCTTTATACTCCTTGCACTCTTAAAAATAGTAACATATGACATAATAGCGTACACCTCTTTACACTCTTAAAAATAGTAATTTATAGAATAGGAAGTTGTGGGACTTCAGTTTCTTTACTGAATTTTGATTCTCTTAGATGTCAACCAGCTTTGCTGTCCTTCCGTTATGTGAAGTTATTTGAGTGAAAACTTGGGAATCTGTCTGCACAGACTGAAAATTTACTCTATCCATGACATAATAATAGTACATTTTCCTCCACACGATTCAGTTGGTATACGTACAAATTACATTTATGAGGCCAAGAACTGTAAAGCCAAAACAATTAAATGCTCCAAGCATACAAATATAGAAATAACAGATGAAATAAAGAATAATGAAAACTAATTTTTGCTGCCAGAAACAAAATGTCAAATAGCACTTTCTCTCTACCAAATTAAGGAGCATAGTTCCTAAGCCCAGGCAAGTTATTTTGGCACCTGAGACAGATAATCTCACAAGATTCTCTTCTTTCCAGGGTAATAAAAATGCAATAATTATGAAATATTTTCCCTTTCCTTACATGACAGCCAGTTCAGCTGCCCTCCTATGCCTAAGAAAAGAGCTGTGGCTGAGGTCTATAGAGGAATGTTAATGTATTTATGATAGATGAGGAGGCTGACAATTGTCTGGTGTGTCCACAGCAGGCTCTTTGGCAGTAGAATCCTCTGAATCAGAGGTAGGCATGAAAGCTAGTGGTAAACCACTTTCTTATACTTGCCCTCTCAAACTACACTGACATCTTATGAAGTCACCAGTAGCTAAGCCTGGTTCAAATGAGCCTTTACTTTTTTATTTATACTGTTCATAATGGGAGTGTCTGCAGGGATGGTCAAAAAAGTTAAGAGGGTATATGCAACACCCATAAAAATGGGAAGAGCTTCAATTGCACGGCTGCCATCTTGCCTTTTTCTACCATACTCTGGAGACACTCTGGTTTATAACAATTCTCAGACATTGCAAAAGGGCCATAGCCAGCAGCCTTACCTAATTCTCTTTGGCAACACCTTGTACTGGCTCTACAAGAGCAATACCCAGTATGCTTCTTAATGTTGCCTGTGACCTTCAGCTGCATTCTGGCCTATAGCTAAAAGTAGATCAGAAAGACAGCAAATGTTTACCTGTAGATTATTAATTTATTGAGCTTTACTTGCCACTACTTTGTTAAAATATTCTTGAAACACTTACTAACCCAATATTGATAATGCTTATCTCATTAGTCCTGTCCATAATTCAGTGAAGCCTAATCCTAGTGTGTGTGTATTATTATTTTATTAAATTACTAACTTTTTTCCTTAAATCTCTTCAGAAAATGTGAGAATTAGTGACTAGCTAGAGGCAGAAATGTTCAAATTCTGAAAAGGGTGGGCCGGTTATTTTGTGCTGTACAAGCCCTCTCCAGCAATCCCGCTGAATTCTCAAACTTCCTTCAATCCATGAGGAAATTCTTCTCATGGCCCCTTTTCAGACAAGGGAATGTGGGCCTCCAGGGAAGCTTCAGTCTGCAGGAAAGATGTGCAGCAGATCCAACACTGCCAGCTTCAGCAGTACAGTAAGTTCAAAAACATCACCAAGAGAAATCCAGACGAATCGTTCAGGCACTGAAGAAATTGCTGGAATTACAAGAGCAAGACAAATAAACCTTTGAGAAATTATGAAGCAGATTGTAGCACAACACTACGGTTTGTTGGAGGAGGAAAAAACACTAATCTAGCAGTTATGCCATTTGGCTCCTGCTTGTTTCAGGTGGAAAGCTTTTTTAAAAAAGCAAGTAAAGCTATTTTCAGCATTCGTATTTTTTTGTTAGATGGGAACTAGTACACATGTATATATTTAAAAATGCGAAAGATAAAGCCACAATGAACTGTGACAGTCTTTTGATTTCTGTTCATTTAAGCATGTGTTGCTTTGTAGCAGCATCAAAGAAAATTCAACAGTTTAAAACAGTTACCTAGAAATTGGAAATGTTCTGCCAGGTCTCAACTGTTTGACATACCTTCAGTAATAAATTATATCAAAACTTGCTGCCTACTTTTGCTTTCTCTCCTTAATTTTCGCTCATGGATACTAAAAAACACACCTTTGTACTTATATATTTGGGAAGGTAACAAGGGAAAGAAGTGGCAGCAGATGGCAGTGACTCTCTTTCCTAGATTGGCAGCACAGAGCTGTGGGCATTAGAGCCTCCTACAGCACCATTTAATGATGCAGAATTATCTTGTGAGATCTTCGGGTTAAGGCTGCTCAAATCATACGTACGTGCGTGCATGTGCGCACACACTGCAATGTGTCCAAAAGTTAAATATTGCAGCTACTTTTATTAAAGTTTGCATTTGGGGAATATTGGATTAAAACAGGAATTTATTAGGGAAATTAACATTAAAAATGAAAACAAAATTAAATATATTTGGATATTGCATTTATGAGGGAAATTTGTATATGAGATTTACAGGTGTTCTCCTGGTTGGGAAAATACACAGAAAAATTGATGGGATAATGAATATATCTGACACTGATTCTGATTAAATTTGACTGTTTGTTTGTTTGTTTGTTTGTTTATTTCCTTCAGTTTAGGTGCCGCCTAACTCCAAACCAATTCTGGGCAGCTCACAATATAATAAGCAATAAAAACACAATACAAAACAAAACAAGATGGGGATCCAACCCCTCGATACAAAAACATAGATTAAAAATACACCCAACAAGGGGCTCCATCTGCTCTAATCTAAGCCTGAGAGAACAACCAGGTTTTTAGGACCTTACAGAACATCAACAGGGATTCTGTAGGCCACATGGCTTTCAGGGGGAATCTCATTCCAGAGGGCAGGCACCATGACAAAGAAGGCACACTTCCTAGGTCCCGATAGACGGCACTGTTCAGTCGAAGGAATCCACAGTGCACCATCTCTGCCAGCACATACCAGCTGGGCAGAAATCATGGGAGATAGGCGATCCCTCAAATTAGGGCTTATGTCATATGAAAAAATTGTTCTTGTATTCTGAGGAAACTATAGATTAATTCTTATAGTATCTGCAGTGTAGGTGTATACCCTTATGCAAATGCTGATGTGAAACCAGCCAGCAGTTTTCTAAAATAGTAGTAGTAGTAGTAGTAGTAGTAGTAGTAATAATAATAATAATAATAATAATAATAAAAACCTATATAAGCTTGCACTCCATTTCATCAATACATATGTTTCTCTGATCTGTAACAACTGGGGAATTATTCTTTGCATGAGTCCATAGTTGTGTAGACTTTTCCACAGGTTTAGTTAGAAACCCAGTGTCTTCTTTACATTTAATCTGTTTAATTTTAGTCCCATTTTTTTCACTGTCTTCCTTGACTTTTATTACTAGAGCTTGCAGGTCCTTTGCATTTTAGGCTATCAGGGCAGTGTCATCAGCATAGCACAAGTTATTGATGTCTCTTCCTCCAATCTAAAACAATTTGTAGTAGTTAATGTTAAAGATACTAAGTATTTTGTGGCAATAAAATTGTTCTGGAAAATCCTGTACCTAAAACTCTCTGACCATCAGTAAAAAAACCTGAAAGTAAAGGGCCATCAAAAAAACGTTTCTTAATTAGAAGTTGGTGCAGTTGAAGTTACGTTTAATTTTATAATAAAAAAGATTGTGGCAATCTGATAATATGATTAACATTCTAGGTCACTCATCAGCAGGAAATTGAAATGTTTTGACCAGATGATCTTCTCACTGTGGCATAGCATTAATTTCCCATAAGGATATAATCTTGATGTCAGCAGCCAAAGACTTGGGCGTAAAAAAGGAACCTTAGCAGAGACAACTATTTCCTTGCTTTGGAAGAAAATGTTTGGTTTGTGTTTCCCTGGGGCTTCCTATTGCGAAGCTGTTGACATGCTCCCAGTTTGGTTTATGAAGGGTAAAGCTATGAATGATACAACTGTAACAGTTTATAAGATCACTGCTAAAGATTTTGTATGCACCGTAATTTGTATTGTCCATGTGTGAGTGAGCTATAAATCTAGTGTTTTTATCAGGAATATTTGTGAACATATTCAGAAGACATATGGCCAATAAATAATTCAAAGTCATCTGGCTCACCTGTAGATTTCTTACATACCTACCATGTTTTAAAGTCTAGTTGGATTGGAAATAATACTCTTTGTGACATGTGAGCACAAAATATGTTTACAGACTGGCAAAAAGTGACAGTGGCATATGATACTGCCTTGAAAAATAAAACCTTATTTCATCATGCCGTGACATTCAGATCTAATAGCAGCCCCGAGGAGTAACTGCTAGTCTTTAGTAAAGTACATCTTAAGCTCATGATTTTAGAGTCTGTGCTATGTGGTAAAATTCATTATTCTTCTCTCCTTTTTGTCTTTCTTCATTTCAGTTCAATATCAATTTACAGTCCCAAGGAGAATCCCAACACATTTGATGCTGCTGCCTTCTTCCAATCGGTGGGGAATTTTTTAGGGATCTTTGCTGGATCTTTTTCTATGGGATCTGCCTATGCAGTTGTCACTGCACTAATATCCTTTGTTACCAAACAGCAAACTAGAGCAAGTTTGAAAGATCAGATGATGTAAAATGCAACAATTTCAGGTTTCACTTTTAATTAGACTTTGTGTTTTAAGATTTTAGAGATACCATAAATATAATCTCTTATGGCGCTGTACTCATTTCTGTGATAAATTGCAGCTGTAGATGAGCTTGAATGCATATGCAAATTTGTTAATCTGACCATTGGAAGTGTTAACAGATGGGAAGAAAGAAAACCAGGGCAAATGGCCTTCTATAAGCATCTTCTGCTTTCTTTGCCAATCACATCTTTCATGCACCTATTTCTTCTAATGACATTACTTTAGTCAATATCCACATCATGAATTTGCTCAGGCATAGTTAAAAGACTGGCTGACTTAAAGTAACTAACATATTTGCTTAATGTCTGTAATAAACTAGACATTTACAGTGTTTAAAACCAAGATAGGTTCCTACATTTTTCTTACTCTCCTGCCTGCACTCATATTTCAGTTTTCTCTCAGGGCAACTTGTCAATGCATGTCTCCTGTAAGAAAGGATGACATGTTTTGCCTTGAATTTGAGATTTGTTTGTTTATAAATTTAGAAGGTTCTTTTTTTTAATGAATAAACCAATAAATCTGTGCTTCTTGGAGGCACTTTTTCATAGAGTGCTCACATAGCAACATAAAATGAAAAACTGCTATAAGAGAAAGAGGAGTTAACAATTTATAAGTAGCTGGTTTTTGCCCCTGTGGACATAAAATCTGCTCAAAGGTAGGGTAATACTTTGAGGAATGTGGAGAAGGAGTAGGAGTTACAAAGCCAGTGTTCCCCTTTATGGAGTATCTCCAGAGTAGCAATTTACAGCATCACCTAGGCATCACTGTGTCAGTATAAAGTTTTCTTTATTAACAAAGGCTATAAATTGCTAATGCAGAAGTTCTTGTGTCTGTCTTCCTCTTCAACATATGGCTTCACTAGCTTCACTGCATTTTTTAAAAAGCAATAAAGAATCACATGGCACCATAAAGACAAGTTTATTACCACTTTAGCTTTCACAGATCACAGTCCACTTCATCAGATGCAAATGGTCTATGATCCAGGAAAGAAAATGTACAGGATTTTTTTTTTAATTTGTTTGCCCCAAAAACTAACATGGGCACTCCCCTGGAGACTATATTTTTTTATAGTCCCCTCAGAGATGCAATGGTTGTGCCTTTACCCGTCAGTAGACAAATTAAAACATTTTTATGCCAGCTCACCTTCATGTCTTTTGCAGCTATTTTATCAACCTTTTTTTCCCATCCTAGTTTAGGAATGATTGTTTTTTTGAGCTTGACGTTTTTGGGTTACATTGTTAGCTACCTTGGGTAACAAAGCAGATGTGCTTTTAAATTAAAAGTATATAATCATAGGCTCACTGAGGTAGAAAAATATTTCACAGCCTTTGGGTGAATTATGTTTAAATATACAATGTGTGGCTGTGAAATTTAACCGACATTTGCAAAAGTCTTTTTTTTTTTTCATGCATCTTCTTCTCAGTTTATATTCTTCCTTGCTGGATGAATTTCCTTTTGAAAAAGAAGCATGAAAACTTAACAGGTATATAAAAGAATCATATAAGCTTTAAAAACATACAGGAAAAGCAGGTATAATGAGGCTTCAGAGGCAGATGCTAAAGTCCCAACTCTACATCAGCATAAGCCTAAACACATTCAGATCCATAACTTTCCAAATATATTCTCAGAACAAGCAAATATTTTTATACTGTAAATTGCTTACTGCCAAACCCCCTACTACTTTGTAAAATAGAAATAGAGAGGCTTGCCGAATAAATCAAAATTCACTTTATGAGCATTTCAACAAGCTACAGAGAAAATAAAAATAATAATCTATTCCATGTAACTGCAGAATGGATAATACAATAAAAACAAAGGAGCAGCAAAGTAGTAGAAGAAGAAATCACGTCAACACAAATGCATGGAAGGGGAGGGTATGGCATGTTGCCTCTATAAAAATGATGTCATCAAATGGAAGTTGAACATATAAAGCTGCCAGATCTGTGCTGCAAAAATCTAACTCTGCCACTATTTCATCACTGCCAATATTTTTTCAACCCAAATTTGGTAGCCTTAATTAGTATGTATCCTAGAAAGGGAATTCCATCAAGCTTAATCTACATCAGTTAATCTACAACAGTTCACACAGACACCTCACTTCAGTCAGCAGAAACAATAAAAACAATAAAGGTATATTTTGTGTAGCTGAAGTAAGCTATCTATGAACTGATTCAGGCTTGTAGTTATCAACTACCAGATCATACCAAAATCCAAACCCCTTCTTCACCTTAGATATAGATCAGTTTTATTTGAAGCTATTAAATAAATGTTAGAGATCTCTTCCAATGCCTTGAACACCTCCAGATTGTTCCACTAAAATTCAGTGGCAGAACTGCCAATTTTCAGAAGCATGATTTTTGGCTCTCTGCCACAAAAAAGTGTGATAAATTTCTATGAGTTGTTAATGCACTAATTTTTAATTTTAAACACAAGCCAAAACTCCAAAGAGCAAACAGGCCACACAGCCACAGTGATGTTATCATATCTTGATATAAACTGCTTACTCCTTTACACATTGCCATGTGGCCCTGGGCAACAGGTTGAGTGAAAGTAAAGGATTCTGGATAATACAGGCATCATGCTGCACAAATAATGCCTTAACACAATGGAATGAAATGGTGGTCACTAGGCCAAATATCTATATGTAATATTTCTTCCACTGATTTATTAAAATAATCTTAATGCACCTCTTTTTATTTCTTAAATTAATGCCACTAAGCTAGCAATGACCTTCTCCTGAGCTTGAAATAATATAATCCTTGAGCTCATTCTCAGCTGGTCATCTTGTTTGCCATTTGACTTTACCACAGATAAATTTTCATTACCTGAAAACATTGCAGAGAGTAGAACTAGAATTAGGTAGCAAATTAATCAAACTAATGCTGGGAAATTTAAGTTATATCTGACCAAATCACTATAGTGATTTAGTCAACTATTTCAAAGCATGAACAGTTATAAGCATAGCCAGGAATACTTTTCTTGAAGTTGCATGTGCAATAAATATTCATGCAAGCATAATTAATTAAGCTTTTCCAGTAGACTGTCAAAATCATAAACTTGTTGGAAATGGAAATTATTTATCACTGCAAATTATTCATAACTGAAATATCTCCTTCCTTAAAATTCAGAGGGAAATTATCCACAGCATAAACAATTCTGTGACCTGGTCAAGACCATATTTCCAAGATATGAAAAGTTTTTTATCCTACTTCTGTATACAGTCAGGATTATGAGAAACAAAAAAGGTTCATCAGAAAGTAATTTCCCTGCTTGATAGACTGATATACTAACTGGCTTACACAGAGTCCCTTCCACTGTCCTTGGAAGAACCACTGTGGAACATACACATTCATGTTGCTCTGGTTAGCTTTAGAGATGTAAACTGAAACTCATTAAAATTTTGATATTTCTTCCCATTGCACCACTGGGTTTATATTTTTCCCCAGAAAATGAACATGTGACATATGAATTGGTCAGCATCAAACATTCACTGCTTGATGTCCCCATCATGTTAAATGCAGCTCTCCAAAGCCACCAGAACATCTACAAAAGGGGGCACCAAATTCCCATGGACTACCTGGGAAATTATCATAGTACAGTGGAACCTCGGGTTACGAATTTACTTTGTTCCGTGACTCTGGAATTGGTCGCAACCCGAAATAAATTTCCCCATAAGGTTCAATCTAATTACCATTAATCTGTTCTGGCATGGAGGACAGAGAGGCAGCTATTGCTTGGAGGGAGAGTCCCCCTTCCTACGACCACGTGTCAGGGTCATTTTCCGCAGCGGAAAATGGCCGCGGACCACGTGTCAGGGGCAGAAAAATGGCCGCGGACCACATGTCAGGGGCGGAAAAATGGCTGTGGACCACATGTCAGGGGCAGAAAAATGGCCGCGGACCACGTGTCAGGGGCGTAAAATGGCCGCGGACCATGTATCAGGGGTGGAAAAATGCCCGCGGACTGTGTCACGGGAGGTAATATGGCCATGGATCCGGTTTGTAACCCAAGGCGGAGTTTACAAACCGAGGTAAATTTTTGCGGCCAGAGCTGGTCGTAACCCGAAAAGTTCGTTAACAAAGGCGTTCGTAACCTGAGGTACCACTGTAACTAATTTAAAATTATAGTCAATTACATTTAAATTAACTAGAATCTAATGGAATCTAGTTCCATTTACTTCTTCTTCTGTCCCTTCATACATACACACACACACATTTTTTGGAGTGTGGCATTTATACCCCATATACCACTCAAAAGCTGAATATAGCCTTAAGCCCAAATAATATTGCAGCCCTGTTCTCAGCCTTGGGTTCACAAATGTTTAACTACCGCCCCTAACTGTTTCAACCAGCATTACCAATGGTCAATAAATTTCAGTAATGTATGTGAACTCAACCAGTTGGGAATCATTGAATGAAGTGAACTTTATGATGAGTCATGTATTGAAGTGGCAGTTCGAACATCACAACTCTTACTATTTACTTCACTTCTACAAAATTATAATGCTGAGTTTGTAAGTTCAAATACCTAATATTATTACAAAATCAAATCTGAAAGCTGAAATCATTGCCTTTTTTCCTTAGCATTTTTTTTTTCTTTTAGCACTTGACAAAGTTTACTAAGCTATGTGAGTTTCCCATGTTGGAAACTGGCCTGTTTTTCCTTTTGTCATGGAGTGCTTTCTTGTCTGCTGAAGCTGCTGGACTTACAGGTAAGTAATTCATGCCACTGAGGTAATTAGGGGGGTTCAGTTCTCTGCTGTGATACAAAGATATGTGTGGAGTTGGGAACATATATTACATAAGGGCAGAGGATTTTTTTTTTCATTTAAGTAACTGGGGAAGTAATTGCAAGCAAGGAAGTTCCATGTGTGCAACAGGCCTCTTATGTCTAGAACAGACTGATTGTTAAAACACTGTATATGACTCTGGAGTTAAAAAGCAGAATATTAATTAAGGAGGCTACAAAAAGTGTTCCATGTTGCTCATGTTTATTTTCATTGCAAAATTGTGTAGGTAGAGAAAATGCCCCCTTTCACCATATTCTTGATGCTACTTATCCCTATATCACCTTCTTCCAACTTGTTGCTGTCCAATTGTGTTGAACTTCCACCCCCACCTCCCCCTATTCAGGCTATAAATTATGAGAGCTGAATTCAGTATATCTGGAGGACATCTGGTTGTTGTACATCATCCAATTCATTAAACATGGCTAAAACTCTTGCCGATACACACTACCAAAGACGTACAGTAGCTGTTGAATAGAACCTTAGTTCTGCAGGATAAAAAGTGTCCCTTCATTTTTTTTATTCCACATACGAAGTCTCACCTCATTCTAAGCCGGTAGTAACAGAAGGAAGAATATGTTTATTTAAATAGTGAAGTGGATGTTTTATTTGTATTTTTTATTTTGTTTTTGAGTGAATGCAAAAACTACAGGGGAAGTAGTTTGTCAGTTGTGTCTGGGAAGTCACTTGCAATATTCCAATTGAAAGGGTACAAAAGATTACTGAGCAAAATTTGTGATTTTATGACAGACAGGAAATATGCAAACCAGATTTTTCCTATTTACCAGCTCATTGAGAAATTCATATATGTAAGAAAGAAAATTTATTATACATTACTTAATTTATAGAAAGCATATAATAAAGTGAATAGAATTGAATTATGTAATGTTTTATTGTATATGAAATTGAAGGTTATTTGCTGAATGTGCTAAGAGCAGTAGTTAATAAAGCATGCATGAGAACAAAAGAAATACTTAACAAAGTGTTCAACGCTGAGCAGGAGTAAGACCAGGATCTGCAACGTCCTCTTGGTTGTTTAGTGTAATTATTATATGTATAAGAAATTCTTATACTGATGTTGGAGTTGTCTTCACTGGAGACATGAATATAAGAATAGTTTTGTATGCAGATGATGCCAAGTTGTTGGTGAGAACTCTAATAATCTGCAGCAAATTTTAGATATGATCCAACAATAAGTATGGAATTTGCAATTTATGTATCAAAGTCCAAATTACTTATGTTTGACAGGGTGCAAAGAGTGAATAATTGCATATTACATATAAACAACAAAAATCTAAAACAAGTATATGAATTTGTGTATTTTGGTAGAATGTTTAACAAAGATGGAGAAATGGTTGGAGAGATTTTAGGATGTAAATATGGTGGTAGAAAAGTAATGAGGAATACAGTATGTAGTTTGTTGAGACAAATCAAAATGTCTCAGTAAACTACATACAGTAGTTAGCAGTAATCATCAAAAACAGCAAAAAATTGTTGTGTGTAAAAGGGTACCTCTCCCTATTTTGTTATATGAAAATAAAAGTTGAGTACATCAGGTGAAACATTAAAGATGAATAGGGTGTATTAATGTGCTATCTAAAAATATATGTGGTAAAGGAAGAAGCAATACAGTAAAAAATGAATGGGTGTTGAATGAATGTGGATTGATGCAAAAGTGAGTGATTTATAAAAGAGTTTGTTGAGTTGGTTTGATCATATCAAGAATGTGAATGAGGATTAAATTACATAAAAAATATGAAGGGAAAATGAATGGATCAAGGGATATGACAAATTGAGAATACTGTGCATGAAGTTGATGAGTTCCTCAAAAAGAAAGATGTAAGAAGTTTCAAGACACAAAAGAACAATGTGTGAGCAGTGTAGAAATTTCGTGGAAGCAAGGATGGTTTGCAAGGTTAGAAAACTATGGTGAGATATAGTCAATGGTGTTGGTATAAATTAGTTTAAGTTATGTTTCCTTTTATTTTTCTTATCTCATGCTTTTGAATTTCTTTGGATTACTGTTTCTTATTTCTTTTCTTTGTTCTACATAACATTGCTAATCACTAAAAAGAATAGTGTGATGGGTATCTATGTAGATATACTGTATGTGTACAATTAATTTCTTCTCATTCACAGCAAGCTGGGCAAATAAGTCTAGAAGATGACAAGTATTAAAATTAATATTAAATCTCTTTATGGAATAAATCATATGCATTGAATTAGTGGAATATTTGTAACTCATATAAAAGGAATAGTGAAGAGAACATGAAACTAACTTGTAGTAAATATAGAATAGAAACATTTAATGTTGATCTGATGTGAAGGTAAGCTCCCTATCTGGATTTTATATAATTTCAAAAAAATCAGTCTCACCTCTGGAATAGAATATTTTTTGTCTATTTCTGTTTTTTTAAAAAATGCTTGAAAACTTGGCCTTTCTTATAATGAAACTAGAGGAGCTTTCAATGATAATTTTATTGCTGGAGGTACAGCCACTGTAAGCATAAAATCCATTTTTAGATGTTAAGACATAGGGTACAACCAAGCAGTATATAATTGGCAGATGTCATGTTTTCACACCCAAGTGACATACTGAAGTCTCTTCCTTTACATCATTTGGAAACTTTTTCCTATTCATTTATGACTCTGGAATAACAGTAATTTTAATTGTTACACTTCTCACAGATGGGTTTTGCATTTATATAGCAACTGGAAAAATGTTTAGAAGCCAAGGTTTGAGTATTCCAGATCCAGTTAGAAGTATTTTTTTTAAAAAACCATATGAAATCTTACAAGCTGTTATTTCATTGGAAAAGATATTACTCAAATTATTAGAAATAATTCTTTTCTTATTTGTACAATAAAAATCTAATGATCAATGTTTGTGAATATGGGAGATGAATGTATAAATTAGTTGTATGAAATGGCACCCAACCGGGTTATTCAGGAATCTTTAATCACTATCAACTTTCATATTCAACCTATTTTATACATGTAGCATGCCACTTACTTTCTTGATAGACACTATTGGAAGAGAATTGGAAGTTATGCCATTTAATTTCTTGATAGACAGTATACTTCAGGATTAATATGTATATTAGATCTTGTGGAGGAGAGATTATGCCAATGATATACAACCAAAAAGAATTATGATTCTCCTGCTCTGTTCTTTATGGGACTGGGAAAAATCATTTATCACTTTGAAACCCTTTCCAATAGTAGTTCTTTTTATTCAGCTTTAAGAAAGTAATCCTCAAAGCTCTCAGCTCAGCTCCAGTACCTTTATTTTTATTTTATTTTATTTTTCCCTGAACTCAGAGCATTCTGAATTTATAATTCAATTTCCTCCATGGAATCTGTAACAAAGTAGAAAGCTCATCAGTTCTGTAGATATCATAGTGCATAAATGTGAGTTTGGTTGAATTGCAAAGGTTCTTCTGGAGTGACAACACACCTAACAAACATAAACATCTAAAAATTATCTTTATTTAGAGCAAGGTGCAAAAGTTGGTGCTCAGATGTCATAGTGAAGTGTCATATCCTTATATGAGTGTCTGAAATGTTTCACTCAGCCACTTTCCTGATGTTTTTCTGGGACTCTCTGATAAAAGTCTGCAAGTACTGTCAAGCTTTCCAGTTTTCACTGGCACCATTCAATTGAAAAAAGCCTGAAAGCAATACTCTGACATTCAGTTGTGTGAGACATTCTAATTAAAACACTTCATGGCGATCTTGCCACCTTGGTCTAGGTGTGAGGCAAACTTGCCAGAAGCACTTTCAAGTTATTTCAAGATGATTTATCTTACCCAGAAGAATCAGTCTAAAATTTCAGAACAATGTATTTTCTTTTCTATAAAGAAATAGTTCTGTCAAACATTTTCAATACAGTTCTTAAGATTTAGAGGTAGTTGAACCTCTATCATTTTCTTTCTCCTGATCAATTGTGGAACAGAACAAAATTATTTTTCTGTTTTATTCTTTGATAGGGAAAAACCATACAGCTAAAAATACTAAATATTCATTCCAATCAATTGAACCCCATGATTATTCAACAGATTTTTCATATTGAATATTTAGCACATTATTTGTTCTTCCACTATGGTGATCAACATGGCATATACAATGCTTTCATGAGTATCATAAGTTATGAATAACTCCATTACTTCATCATAAGTAGCTTTAAGTGGATTAGACCTAAAAATCAACATCTTGGTCAAGCAGACAAAGATCTAGAGTAGGCAATCAATGTGGATCAATGACATTTAGCACTTCTAAGATTCAAAAACAGATTCATGTTTTCAAGCTGAGGTCCACACATCACTCCTGCTTTCTAAAAACTAGATCAGACAAGGAAAAAGTGGTAAGTGAAACCCACACCAAGACCAGATTTTAAATTACCTTACATCAATTAATGTAATTATTGTTATTATGTACAATTAGTACAATTAATAATACAATTTTAATTTACTGCAACAGAGAACTGGTCCATATATGTTCAGTTTAAGCAATTCTAATCTGGAATTGGAGTAAATTAGCATTATTTGCTTTTTAAAGTTTATTTCTAGGAACAATAATCTCAGTCCCCTCCTCTTGGAAACAATGGTCCCAATGCAATAAAAGTAATTGTGGGTCATAACGAAATCCTACTTGAAAGCAATATTTTAGATCCATGGTGAACAACCTCTGCTCCCAGGGCTGTATATGGCCCTCAAATAAATTTTTGCAGCTCATGGAATTACTTATAACAAAATTGTACATGAGTGGCAATGGTTTGCTGTCATTCTGAGACAGGAATAGCACAAACATTGAGTGTAAGTACTAATTATTTTAACAGTTTTTCAGGTGGTGGTGGTGGTGGTGGTGGTGGTGGTGATGATGATGATGATGATGATGATGATGATGATGATGATGTTGATGTTGATGTTGATGTTGATGTTGATGTTGATGTTGATGTTGATGTTGATGATGATTCCCTTTTCTCACTTCCAGGCCTAAAATTCCTGGCCCCACTCATGTGTCTATGATTTGGTTATACACCTTGCGTTCTTGTCCCACCTACTGTGATCTTCCCCTCTCCTTCCCAAAACGATTAATAAAAGCCTTAGCAACTTAGCAATAAGTAAGCAAATGTTTTCCTTACTTATTTTAGATTCTGAGAACTTTAAAAAAAGCTTGCAAAAATTGACTTCTTTCATCCTAGCTGTTATTACATCTGTTGTAAGGGAACCTTGCTGGGCTATGTGAGATAGGATGTGGGGATCGCAGTGGGAAGGCTGAATTGCTCAAATTTGGGTTGACTAGACTTGCACAAGCTAAACTAATCAAAACCCAATGTAGCATAACAGAATCTTGAGAGTTAAATTATAACACAGTAACTCCATGCCGCCTGCTTTGAAGAATTCTTTTCTTTTCCTTTTTTGTATCGGGTATGTGTGATGGGGGGTTGGGTAGTTTGCCCTGATGAGATACATCCTTGGAGTGCTTTGTTGCAGAAGCAGCTGTGGAAGCTGTTTTTTGTGGGTGAGGCTAGGCAGTTAAGTTGGGTTTGTTGGCTGGGGTCTGTGGTTTGGGACTGGGATGGCAGGGTGTTTGGGAGGACTGAATGTAGAGTAGGGCAGGCCATAACATCCTGGTGATGGCAGGCAGAGGAAGATACGGTGACAATCTGGGGGTGGCTGCATATGGGAAGGCAGTTCTGGTATCTTCAGTTGATTGCGCCTTCTGGCCCTCAGAATTCAGTCCCCGGCCAATTTTTGAGCTGTTTTTTATATGTTAACAAAAATCCTTAGCAGGGCATTAGGAAATGTATTGCATCATTTATATGATGACTCAGAGATGTCATTGTAGCAATATATTCGTGGGTTATTCTGCTGGTTTCTTTCTCCTTGGTCTCATGTCATCTTTTGCAGAGGCAAACCCATCCCTTCAAATATTTAGTGCATAATAAAACATATAAATGTAATAATATCTATCATCTTCAAAATTCCCACTTATTATCAAAGAAGGACTGCAGATGGTAATTTCACCATCTGAAAGCAGATTGATCACAAAACAATAAATCTTTTTATTTTCAAGTTGGGCGGGTAGGGCAACTGTTTTGATCAACTACAATCAGTTTATAAGTGGGGGGGAGTGTGCATAGTCGGCAACTAATTAATTGAGAGTACTATACCTGCAGACACAACTTTTTTTCTCCACTTTGCACCAATCAGTTATTTCTTTTAAACTGAACCTTTGAATATTTTTTCTTGAAAATGAACATGCAGCTTAGGAAGAAATTGTTCCCAATGAAGGAATTGTTATTTTTAGTTCCAGATACTGAAGGCTCCTCTAATTTTTAATGAGAAGGAAACCAATGATGTTTTTAACAAATGCCATGTAGGCAATAGTATTTTGAAATAAAAACTGAATGATATTAGAAGGAAATTGAGTATTTTCACTAATAAATCTTTCCATAAATATAATGCAGTTGAGAGTCCATCATTCTGCCATTTTATTTGTGAAAGCAAATTCTAGCTATCTGCACATTTTAACTTTGTGTGTTGTGCAAACCCAGTTCCAGACTGCAATCTTACACAAATTTGCCTGAGAGTAGATTCCAATGAAGTCAAGTGGGCTTATTTCTAGATAGACATTGAGTGATTTCTTATAAACAACTAACTGGTGTGGTACAATAGAAATTAATCTTAGTGACATAATCTTATTTTTTTACACGATCATTTTGTCATGCAATCTTGAATGTATCTTAGAGAAGAACCTGAGTTGTTGCTTTTTCTCTGGAATTTCTGAATTAATTAGCACCAAAATCTGAAAAAAGCACTCCCAGATTACAAAATAGTTATTTTACAAGACAGCAGTCTTTCTGCAACAGAGTGAGCCCAGCTGGAATACACCACACCAGCCTCTTATCATGTTAAAGGTCACTGTTATATTTGGATGATTTCATAGCAATTCTGAACAGTTAGACATTCTTCAAACAACAAAGCTGTGTAGATGTATACTAAGCAGGTCACATTACAGCAAGATGAGAGAGATTCCTGACCTCCAATTATTTTGATCAAAGCTAACTTCTAGTTCATTGAAGCAAATTATTATAACACCTTCCTTATGGCTTTTTTTTATAGGCAGTTAATGTTGTTTAATTATTTTCCAAGGAGGCAAATCCCTTCCTCTCCTTGTTCTTTTTGAATACACTCTAGGAGGAAATGAAAACAGCTAAATGTGTATTGGTTTTTGTGTTTCAGGAATAGTGGCAGTTCTTTTTTGTGGAGTCACACAGGCCCATTATACATACAACAATCTGTCAGCAGATTCCAAAATGAGAACTAAACAGGTAAAGTATGCAGTCTCCCCACCTTTCTGACCCCTTGCTTGCTTTGTATCTTCTGCAAGAGTAATTGGATATCTCACAAAGCTGACAATATAGCTAGAAGATATTTCATTAAACCAAAGAACAAAGCTTGTATCTTCATTAAGGGAGAATACCAACACTGATTTTTGCCAGGAAAGACAATAGCAATTCTTCTGCTAAGCAAAATTTAAGAAAGGTCTGTTTTTCTTTTGAGGCCAGAAGCATCAAATGTCATTTTGGATATGAAATACACAGAGCTGGTGATCGTTTTCAGTGCTTTTTATCAAGTCAGCCTAGGACTCTACTGGATATATGCTTTGCTCAAGGGCTTATAGCTTGATGGAGTTTCTGTCTTGTCTTTTGCTTGAAATCACTGACACACATCTCCACATCATATCACAAATGGGGACTAAAATTCCTTCAGGTGAAGCATGCTTTTCAAAACTGAGAACCATGGATACATGGAACATATAGCTCTGTGAGTTTGTCAAGAAGTTGATCTGCTTTGTTGCCAGAAATTGGTAATGTGGTTAGGTAATTTTAGACCATGTATAATGATGTTGTGAGACCCAGTTCGATGATAAGGTATATTATGTTACCTTTTTTCAAAATGTGGCAAGTCTATTTCAGACACCTCCTGCTTATTCTAGCAATTTAGGCCCACTAAGTCCAGATGAATACTGCAGGTGTCAAATTTTCAAATAAGGAAAAGTACAAGCCAAGGGGTTCTGTAGGGAATATAGCATGTGGGGTAGATTAATTTGTCTGAGTGTCCTCCAGGTCCTAGAGAAAAAAAACACTTGAAAATATAGACTATTAGGGCAGAAATGTTGCAGGATCAGAAACTTCAGAATAAAAAATTCCTATAATCAGTGAAAATCAGCCTCAGCATCTAAGTACTCTGTTTGTAACCCTCAAGTAAATAACTGATGCTTTCTTTAGCTCTATTGTTCAACCTCCTTACACTCTTAAGCTCTAGTGCCTCAAGTATCAATTTTGAGGTATCAGATCACTTCTAGCTATTGTTTTTATAATCTGTTGGATCCAAAACTATATCTGTTACTTTCCAGTCTTCTTTACTTTGGTTTGGGAAGCAAAAGTACATCTTAATTGCCCATGAAATCCTGAACTGAAAACAACTTCTCATGTATTTATAGCTAGCTTTAGACTATACAACAGAATAATCTAAACGTCTGTTCCAAAGTCCTATCTTGACAACAGCCCAACAAATATTTCTGTAGCTAGTCAGATACCATCATCTTAGACTCCAGTCCATGACTTACCTTTCATAGGCTGAGTTATCTATCCCATAACAGACTACAGAAGGATCAGACTGACCAGTATTATTTGGGGGGATTGCATGAAAATGCAACACTACATTCTGATCCAATCAAGCATTGAGAATTAATCAAAGACAAAGGCAATCTCTGTACAGTAAAAATGTATATCTTTGTTATTCAGACTCCTGTGTACATCTGATATGTAATACTGTATAATAAAGCAAATGTTATCCAGTCATCTGGCCTTGATAGAAGTGGTTGGATGATTTGCTATTCCCTTATTTGACCACAGTGTTTGATCACTGCATCATAATTATTTTCTGAGCTGTGATTTATCAATATACATACATTTTAGGATATCCCTGGTGGTAACTTAGAAAGGGACAGAAATGATAGTAGTACCAAATGAAATATGCATTAGAATGGAATGGTTGCTTGGACTCTCTCTCAGCCCTCAGAAGCAGGCAATGGCAAACCACTCCCAAATTCTTGCCAAGAAAACTGCAGGGACTTGTCCAGGCAGTTGCCAGGAGTCAAGACTGATTCAAAGGCACCAAAAAAAAAAAAAAAATGGCATGGCGTGAGGGGGAAAAATCCAGCATGATAAGGATTTAATGTCGTCGTCTTGCATAAAGTAATTGGGAATCACATTCAGAAGCCCACATTTGACAAGAAAGTGGGGAAAGTAGATAAAAGTTATCCAGATGTTTTGTCAAAATAATCATTTAGGCTGATTGACAGGAGCATTATAACTAGTAGATTCCTATTACACTTCCACGACGTCTGCTTTATTTGTTCTTTCATTGTACAGTGTGTATATAATCTCTTTTAATCACGAAAATTGGAGGTTGACATGATGCTTTTTCTGTGATAAAATACGCAAATCAGGAAACTTATAATCACATTATTCATTTAAATTAAAGGCATCTAATTGAAATTGCATGAAAGAGACCATGGAAAAGTTTTTCAGCATCTGTCTGTAAAGAATGTTAGCCTGAATATGATAATTTCTCTGAGACCTTGAAATCCACATCAAAATAATACTAACATTCCACATTCTGTTGGAAGTACAATTTTTTGGAAGGACTGTTCTAGGCACAACAGCCATTCATGGAAACTATATCATAAAGGCTACCCTGCTGAGAGAAACTTGTTGAATGAAATGAGTTGGTATAGATTTGCATCCTTTTTTAATATCTGTACTATATTTTTCATTTCCATGGGAGTAAGCCCTACTGAAAGTAGTGGATATGTATGTATTGTCGAAGGCTTTCACGGCCGGCATACGATGGCTGGT